AACATTTTGTATCTTGCATCAAAGATAGGAAGTAGATATTTTTTTTCCAAAATCTGCAATTAATAGGGAATCTGTCAAAAAAAAGAAATCTGAGAAAAGTCGACCCAAAAAAAGATAAAAAAATTTAAATACTACTGGGTCATACAATTTAAAAAAATCACAAAATTAACGATAACTTCTAAACTATGAAAAATCGTAGAACATACATGGGGGTGAAATCGATAGGTCTAGTCCTCACCTATCACCTGCCTTCGGCTTGACACCTTACAAGAAACACCCTGTATATACGAGTTACTTTAACAACCTTTGAACTACAAGGCTTGTTATGACTATAACCATAATAGAGACTCTTGAAGTCTAATACCAAGCTTGAGACCATAATTGTTAGAAACTTCGTGATAGAAAAAACCATAGATGGTAGGTATGATGTGAACCTTGAAATGTCTAAAAACATAACCCTCCTTCTGGCGCAGTCGGGTAAAAAGTATTGACCACTATTATTTCTACCCTAAAACTAAGCATTCCGGTCTCATGTCACATAAAACGAACTTAGATAGGATAAGCCTTTGTGCGGAACATTCCGAACGATAAAACTCGCAAACACCCCTTTGATCACGAAACAATTTGTCGGCGAAGGTGGCGATAAAAGAACAACAAACCAACATCTAACGGGCCCAAACGGCCGATTTCAGATGCAAATCTTTAGAAAAAACTGCGTTGGTTAAATAGTAGAAAAGCTATCGTAAGCGAAATTCTTGCTCCATTCTTGAAAGAATTAAAACAAAGTTCGCTGCATAGATCGTTTCATCCACGAAGACGCGCCCCACCATCCTTCCGCTAATGTTTGAGTGTTATCGGTACACGCTAAATCATCCATGAGTGCACATGCACACTACAATAATGACGCTCGGATTGCTCGGATCAAACTCACCGCATTCCGCGCTTCCCTCGGCCAAAAATTGATAGGGCGCGTCTTCGTGGATGAAACGAACTACAGTTCTGTCGTCTAACCAAACTATTTAAACATGCAGCACTAGATCCCTTACAGAGTACCTATAGTTTTTTGCGACCAAAACATCAAAGTCACACTAAAGTAAGGTGTACGGATTGTAGTACAATTCAGTTGAACAGAGCGAGTATTCGCATCTTGAAATCTAGTGCGTAGTACATATTACGAGTATATCGATGCAAGCACATATGGTCCAAACTTTTTTAAATTCATAATAATTATTATTTGTCTTTGTTTATATTTTCTAGGTTGCTTAACTTCGGTAATTGCTTGACAACCAAATCGTTTCAAGCACTTCATCATACAAAGTTTAGTCTAGTCTTTGGTCAATTTAACAATGGGTTAAAGTTGGGATCGTTCTAGCATATCGTACTATGCCGTGAAGTTTTAATTAACTTAAAAAGGTAAAAATATCGATAAAAATTACTAAGAAAATTCATTTCCTTAAAATTACCACTACCATTACCACTTGAATTTGCTTCGGTCGAATGATCGATATGTAGGAAATAAATACGTGTAATTACTAAGAACACCTTTGATTTTCCAACCAAACCATTAAACGGGATCGCCCTTTAATCGAAATTCAATACTGACGATATGTCACAGCTAAACAAGAACGGCCATTCAATAGTAAATCTTCTTTGTTGGTAAAATTAGATTGAATTGGTATTCGAATTTTAGGTAATTTAAGCATCGGTGTTCACAAAAATGCATTGCAGCGTGTGTTGTTATTATAACTCAAAGATGATGTTTTTATCAGACTTAAAAAGTTCGTCTGCGGTTTGGTGTAAGACGACCCAGATTTAGCTAAATAGGCCATCTAAAGAAAATATCCCTTCTTCTTCTTTACTACCAATCAGCTTTATTTGTGTGTGTACGTGTACATGCACATAACGATAGTGTAATGTTTATCAAAACTTTTTAAAAACAAACAGTAGTGAGCCACTACACATGTAAAGCTCACTCGCCTTCGTGATTTGCAACAACTAGGTATACCTTTTGGTGTGATGCTTAAGTGCGCACTGTGCAGGCTGTTATAGTCTAACTGTGGCTAGGCCCGGAAGCACGCGTAGCAAAAGCTTTGTTAAGCAGAGCTTATTAAGTTGATCGCCGGCACACGACAGGTGCGCCTGATCGTTCATTAGGGCTGCCAAATACCGTTTCAATGGATGTTTGTTGTTTCCATAGTGCCCATAGATAAATTCCCTTTAATTGGTAAACTTCGGTTAGCAAAATTATAATATAATTGTATTAACAAACCTTTGATGTGGCGTTAGGTTAATATTGTAACAAATACGTTACAAAAGGAATTTGACAGGCAATGGCGACATAAGACAAACAAGAGGTCGCCTATGACCACATAACCATTTATTGCGCTTGAAGGGATAAAATTCCTTTTTTTTTTCATTTTAATGTTGGTTTTTGTTTCTAAGCTTAGAGCAGAATTACGTATAAACATACCTACTTAATGTAAGTATACAAACGAGTAAAAATGCCATTAATAAAACCCACTATTCTTACATGTACACACAAACTCTATATTTTTCGTCATATTGATCTTATTTTCCGTCTGGAATTCACATTTTACTGACATATTTTTCTTTATAAAAAAATACCATAACTGCCAACCCTGTGACGGCCGTTCGTCCATCCGCTCCTCACTTAAAGCACCTCCGTTTCACTCATACTTCCGCCCGACAATTTGGAGCGAGCCTTAAGCAATAAATTCCATGGCATAAAACCATAAAACATGGAATAAACTTTTATTGACGTTCCAGCATTTTTCCACGCTATAATTAAATTCTAAAGAAAACGTTACTCGGACCGAAATTAGAAGTTTATGTTTGGGTGCCAGTATGGTATGCAACTCATGAAAAATTTACGCTCCTAAAATATTTTTGCAGAAATAATAGTATGCCATAATTGCCATCCTTAACTGAAAAATAAAATAACTGAAAAATACTCCTGAACAAGGTGGGCTGACGACCTCATAAAGGTAGCAGGAAGGCACTGGATGCAGGCCGCTATATCAACCAGCCTTTGTGGAAATTATTGGGGGAGACCTATGTTCAGCAGTGGACGTCCTATGGCTGAAATGATGATGATGATGATGATGATGATGAAAGCGAATAAAGCTTGGGTAGTTCATCGTAGGTATAATCCTTTCCTTATCAAGGCTTCTATGACTCCTACTCACAGCACGTTTTTAAGGACTTTACACACCAAGTCCGGCTTGGTGTCGGTGGTTTTATTTAGGAAACATGTCGACGACTTGAACTCTTTATTACGAGTACTTTTGACAACATGTCAAAAGTCGATGACCAATGTCGCCAGGTCAGCGGATTTAGTGTTTAAACTGAATTACATTCACCCTCATTGGGATTCAAATCCTCAACCTCGATTGACATACGCCCGTATTCTCAAACGATGCTTGCTTAAGTGAAGCAGCACAGCGTTGAATAGAGGTCTGTCACCCGTATTCACAAACATTACTATAAGGTCTCACAGTGCGCGTGGACGCACAGGGTGACACACGAACCAATAACAGAGCTCTATTCAAAGCTGTGCGTTCGATTTACTGCTTCAATTAAGCGAGCATAGTTTGTGAATACGGGCGTGTGATTGGTTCATGTGTCACCCTGTGCGTCCACGACCACTGTGAGACTTCATAGTAATGTTTGTGAATACGGGCGTTAGTCCGAAACGTGAACCTACAGGCTACTCCAACTAGCAACTCTAAAGTGGTCTTCTTTCTTCTTTTTCGACTTAAGACTGTCTCAAAACTTAACCTAAAACTAAAGTACGAAGTGAAAAGTAACAGAGACTGAAACTCGTAGTCTATAAAAAATCAAATTATTTGAAATTAGCTGACCAGGCGAATTTCGTACCGACCTAAGTTCGTTAGAAATAATGTAGGATATTTTTTTAAATCGGTCCAGTAGTTTCGGAGCCTATTCAATACAAAGTAACAAGCAAACAAATCTTTCCTATTTTCAATATTAGTATTAATTTATACCAGAAAGATACGAGCCTACTCGTCGAAAATCATCGGTTTTCCATGGACATAGATACTTACCACGGTTCATTAAGATAACATTAAATAACTGCCACATCTAACCTAGTTCAAATAGGTGTTATTTTGCAACAAAAATGTATAACCTGATACTGTAAACNAATGTTAAGCTACCCACGCTATCACTTGTTTTTGAAGGAAGAGGTGAAAACTAAAAATTAAAAACTTAAATCGTTGTAAATATGCGAGAAATGGGTCAAGCCCCAAATTTAAAGTATTTTCACCGATAAAATTGTCCATTGATCACGCCCTTAAAGTTTGATCACTACATGCCCGGACACACTGTATATTCATCACTTTCCTACACCGGACCCAATTGAAGTTATGCCTTTCGCACGACAAGGAAGACTATAATTTTCTAAGCCGCACGGTAAGCGAGACGTACACAAGGTCTATAGACCTGGTTTCGCACTCAACGTGTTAAAAGATTACCGTTGATGTATTACCTACCGTGATAACGTTCTCCCCTGATAGGTTTATAAATTATGGGTATGTGGTGAACGTGAGGATTGGGATATAGTTAATGTATGGCACAGGTTGTAATTATACTTATGCAATGATGAATATCAATATAATAATATCACGATATTTTTTTCATTTTAGGTAATTGTAATCTTTATTACTACTGTTATTTGCCGTGTGTTTATTGTAATTTTTGCAAAAATAGTAGTACTCAAAATATTTATTAACAAAATACAAAAAACATGCAACCAAATCGAGAACTTCCTCTTTTTTTAAGTCGTTCAAAATGATTTCATATCTAATTGTTTAAATGGAGGTATTCTATTAGGTTCAATTCAATACACCTATTTTCACAATAGTGCAAGACTCTTTCAAACACTAGAAAAATATTGATACAGCCAATGTTTATAAAGTAGTTTCTATCATTCCTATAACCTTTATTATCTTTTGTTCCAGATAAAACAATGTCGGTCTCCGAGTTCAGACGAAAAAAGCTTCTGTACGTGTTCAACGTATTCTTTGGTAAAGTATTAACCAAGTTTGTTCCGTGACTTGTACTTTGTATCAAACTGTATCGAAAGAAATGTATTATTGCAGGCTTTATAAATAGTTCTTTGAGGGGTTTGTTAACAGAAAGAATGTAAAAATAACGTTTTCATAAAGTAACTAGCATTGTAACATAAAGAAAAGAAAAAATAAAAAGAAGAAAAGAAAAGAGAAAAGTGTCAAAAAAAGAAAGAAAAAACAAGATAGTTTTACTACGAGTACATTAATTTTATCCTACATATTTCTGATCATGTTTTACTTCTCCGAAAAACAAAACGTTATCTACATTTATAAATTGAAAACTTTTTGAACAAAATTGCATCGTTTGAGCAATCCCTCTTTTTCAGATGTCAACCAGAGCGGAACCATCGAGAGGAAAGACTTTGAACTGGCAATAGAGGTAAACTTATTTATTAAAAATTAGCTCTACCTGCGGCTTTGCTCTTTAATTTCCTTGATTTTAGTCTGGCTTATAGACTTCTAGTTACTGTTGACTACATTTACCCATACGTCGTCAAATCTGTACTTTTTGAAATAGCCTTTCGTCCGTATTCACAAACATTACTATGAGCTCTCAAAATGCGCGTGGACGCACATGGTGACAAACGAAAAAATCACAGATCTCTATTCAACGCTGTGCGTTCGATTTGCTGCTTCACTTGGCAAGCGTTATTTGTGAATACGGGCGTTATCACAAGAATACACATAAACATGTTATTTCCATATTTTTTGCGATCCAAGTAGTTTTCCTGTTTTCTACCAGTTCTAGTCTATCTCTACAACAAACTCATTTAAATAATTTCAGTAGCTTTATGTAAAGCGTTACAAAGCAAACAGAGCTTACATAAAGAGTAAATAAACAGGTACCTACCATGTAGTAACATTGTAAGTAAACAAGTTTCAAAGGTCGTTTTGGTACTAGCAAAAACGAGGTTATTTTGGCTTTAACAAAACATGGAAATTTTCCCAAACCTTTAGGTAAATCCAGTGTTTTCTTAGAATACAAAATACCTGTTTTACTGTAAAACACTTGTACGTGCTAATAATAAAAGAAAATGTAAATTATTATCATCATTTTATCAGATAAAAGTTCTATTCTTTTGTCCAATTATCCAGATTTTTTGCGAGTAAGATGTTTAAATAAGAAATTTTTATTTTGTGGCCATTTTTTCTTATTTTTATAACGATCTTGTCTCATTTTAAGTTCGAATAAGATGTTGCTCGTTACTTGGTTTAAAAACATTTTTATCTTTGTCACATTCAATGTTTAAAACCCCTTTAATTGAACCTCAAAATGATTGTCTAGTTTACACAGATTCTTTTAATTTTAGATAATTGCAATGAAAATTATTCCTTCTTCGTTAACGTATACCTAAGCATAGGCAGCAACACTTCAAGTTAAGCACTATAGCATTCCATGTCATTGTAATATTGTCTTATTTTTCAACAAAATGTCTGAATGCTGGTGTGCACATTTACATGAGTGGCTGACATTCCATTTCCGCCCTTTGCTATGTCACACACAACGGCCCAAACAAATGAGAAGGCGGGCCTACATTAGTTACTTTGTGGAAATAATACAATCACATGGACATTACCATTGCTTTTAGCCTTTGTGTTTAGTCACTGTCTGTAGTGGATAGAGATGCTTCTAAAAACAAACATAAGACTCTATTACCTATATCCTATTTGATTTTCGGGTAAGTTGACCAGCCAGTGTTAGCTGTATTAGGATGGAAATAAAAAACTTTAGAAACCTTATGAAAATAATACTTACATACTAAAGATCATAGCAGACTTATCAACTCGGAGAGGGATCAACACCGTATCGCATACTGTGGTATCGCTTTTCGCGAGCTGTCATCGCCTTTCGCGCGCTGTCAACTGTCAACAAATAAGTGTGTGTTGCAGTATGGAGTTTCATACAAAGAATACTGACCGCCTCGAGTTGATACGGTTACGATTCCTTTCCGGATTGATAAGTATGCTACGTCCTTTACTCCTATGGTTCAGCGACCCAAAGTGTGTGTTCGCCTCCGATAGATGTCGCCGTTTACTTCAGTCTTGCATTTCATGCCAGTCGCCTGCTTCAAGCTTCTTGCTCGAGAAGCCACATCATCCGAGCGGTATAGCAGTACTTACTGAACTTTGAAATAAGTAGAATCATTATGGTCTTATTGTGTAGCTAATAAAGATTATTTTTGTACAGAAAATATGCAGCCTCCGAGGCTGGAAGCCAGGAGATGCCAAGCACACTGAAACACACGAAATCATGATCAAGATCTGGGACGGATTGAGGAAGAGGGCTGATTCCAATAAGGATGGCCAGGTAAGAACATAATTATGTACTTAATATTTTTTGTTAGTTTCAAGGGTCATTTATAAGGACTAGGCTCACAATTTAACACTATGGGCAAGGACACGTAAAAGTCTCAATATTATACTGTTCCTTTTTTTACACTGACTAAACTCTAAGCGTACCTACAGATTATTAATTTCTTAGATTTCTAAGAAACATCTCCATAAAGACGCAGAGGAATCGATGAAAATATGGTTACTAGTCGAGATTTGCAAAATGTTAAGGGTGCCTGCATATTTACTATTTTGTTAGAAATTGATAATAATCCATTCACTAATTTATTTGTTTACTGAGGACAACCAACAAGACAGACACAAATACAAGCAAAGGATTTTACATAGATATTTTGTAATAATAATATTATTATTATGTTGTTAACCTTTATTTATTTTTATTTTGTTCGCATGTAATGATAGATCTTTAAAAGATCTACCTATATTTTAGTCAGAATAAACTGTGTCAATCTCAGGTAGGATTAACTAGCTTTACTTGCAATTACTCAAGACAATACCTTCAGTTCCTGTTTTCCTCCTAAATTGAATACAAACGTCTAAATCCTTGTACACAAGACACAAGCCAGGAAATTCCCGGGAAATGCGGTTTCCCGTCTACCTGCTGACGGGACGGTAGTTAGCAGCTGTGTTTGGTATGTCACTATACAGCCTGATTGTGTGGTGAGAGGTAAATACCTTAATGTAGATAGATAGATAAATAAAAGGTTTATTTGCAAAACACATTGACACACAATAAGCAAAAAGTAAAAGTAACAAATACACACACAGGAGTAGCAGAAAAATTGTTACATTACAAGCAAAAAATGAAAACCCTGCTCTAAGGTGTAAGTGTGCCGCAAATATGGCAAAAAAGAGAGCTCAGTGTAGATACTGCTATAAAAAGCAGCTCTTGCTTGAATGTATACCATTTTTTTCAACTCTATCTAACCACACTATCAGCTAGATTGCTACTTTTTTCTGCAGATTTACTCGAATTTTGTGTTATCACTAGTAATCTAGGATTATAGTATCTTTTGGTATGTTTACTAAAGAAGTACTGCCTTTATTTCTTGAATCTTAATATTTAGAAATATTTTCAATTGTTGTAAATGCTACAAATGGATAGTCAAAAGTGAATTTCTTGTGGTTTTTTATCTATCAGCCAATATTTTGTTATTATCTTTAGACATGGTTAGAGTTTGTTAAAATTTAAATTAAGTTTCAGAGACAAAGATTAGTAGTAGGTACTTACTTACAAACGAATGATTCGGTGTAAAATTAATTGCGCAGTTTTATTACCTACTTATTGTCAATTTTCTTTTATTTGCGTTTTCAGAAATCCTTGGCAAAAATTGCCACAATGTCTATTTACATTCCCCTAACGAATTGCTCACAAAAAATCTAATTCTAACCTTGTACGGATGAAACAAAACCATACGCCGTATGTCAAAGGCATACTTAATCACGGGGTACTTCCATTGTTAGGTCGCCGTCGGTGAATTTATTACCATTTTTGTGGGGTAATTCGGTTATTGTTATAACGTAGGTAGGTAGCATTGTTAAAAATTGAGTACAAAGGCCACTCGACTTTATTAACAGTCCAATAGGGCAGTAAATCGCGATGTATATAAATTGGGAATGTATAATTTTCAAGCTGAATCGAGGCATAATTTTTACTACAGACTTTTTATTTTGTTCAGTGGCTATGAAAAGCATAACGAATTAAGTTTTTTTTTAGTAACTTTTGTACTTTTATCCGTAGGCTTACTTTTTAGGGTTTCACAGTCAATAATTACCTCTTTATAGTCTCTTTGTCTGTTCGACTTCCAGCAACTTACTTGTAAGCTCAGAAACTTTTTTTTATTTTTGTACTCTTAGTTTTAATCTATGCAATATATCTTTATGATATTAGTTTTATGCCATCAATCCCAAATTTTTAAGTGACCCCTATGAAATCAAAATGCCTGTCAGGTGTTACCATAGGGGTCACTTAAAAATTAGGGATTCATGGTAAAAACGGGCATTAATCTACGCAATTTGAATTATTATGTTTATTAAATGTTCAAACAATAAGGCTCGTTTAGTCGTCCCATCCCCAACACTTCGTTTGGAAAACTTTGAAATTTTGTAAACTTTTTCCATTTTTGTTCCAAAGTATCTTTCTTGTTCAAGCCTTTTTATTAAAATGTCTTGATTACTTTAAGTAGGCGGCAGTTGTTTATCTTCCACGAAATGGGTTAGAGTATCAGAGTTTTCGTTTAAAAAATCCTTGATTAAAAAGATTAGAAATAATGTTTATTGAGTCAATTAAAAAGGTTTACTTTTAAAACTTTGCAAGCTCATAATTTATTCGAAGAAAAAAAATTGTTTCTAAATAATTTACGTCATGCCCCGACTTCAACTGTAGAAAAAAATATTGGAGATCTTTTAGGTATAAGAATGGAATAGAATGTTAATATTTTTCCTCCGTGGAATAAACATTTTGAAAATCTTCAGTTATAGCTAATAACTTAAAGGACCAATAAATAGTTTTTGACAATGTTAAAGACCTAGGCACATAAGTCGGCGTATTCACTGTGTGCTGTGTGATGTAGCCTCGGTGTCACGTTAAGCTCACGACGACTATGTGTATAAGCTTTTAAAAGCTTTACTGGATCTTAGATTTCTCTTTCTAGGTAAATTCTTGCGAAATGTTGATTGTCGTTCAGATTTAGTAATATAAGACGCTACAAATCCTCATTTTCAGGTGCTTGCTTAATTTTGTAACAAGATCTCCTTACGATCTGAGATTGTCTCATTTATTTGAATTAATTGGACAATAATTTGTTCTTGGGCTTGTTTTAATTGTCTTTTAATGTTTACGGGCAGACATCTTTTTTAGATTCATCCAATCTTTGATATCGTTGGAAATATCCAAATAATTACGTGCGTGGGGTGGTTATTAAATGTATTTCAGTCTTAATACTTTGAAAATCCACAAAAGGGACACAATAGCAAAACAATGAATTGCTAAGGTTATTGTTTAGTTTCTTTCAGTCTATTGAAAGGAATATTTTTCATTAATGATATTATTCAAGTCATGATGGTAAAGTGAACGAGCCAAAATCAAGTTTCATTAATTAGATGATATTAACTTTTCTGACAAAATAACTGTCATAAAATGCTGTTGTATAAACATTAATATCTCTTTTCTCAGTACAGTAAATTCGTTCTCTGATATAATAATACAGTTAAATAAATATTCTTGGACATTATGCACTGCGCCGTCCAGTCCCAAATTACGCAGAGCTTGTACTATGGGTACCATACGACGCGGCAACGGATATAAACATACATTTATACTTTTTTTGTAAATACATACATAATATACTTAAAAAAAACACCCGTACCATTACAAATAGATATATGACCAGCGGCCTCTGCCTTATTAGTCCAGTAAAAACCACTACACTATACATAGCGATCTACCAGAATATGCTAAGGACTTTTCTTAAAATTCAAGACTCATAAAAACCCTCTATCCAGGTCTCCGTCGAAGAGTGGGTGTCCATGTGGAACGACTACGCCCTGAACCCGTCCGCAGCCCTCAAGTGGCAGCAGCTCTACAGCCAGTTCATGTTCCAACTGGAGGACGCTAGTGCTGACGGCTCCATCGACTGCGATGAGTTCACCACCGTCTGCTCCTCTTATGGCATCGACCCTCAAGAGTGCAAGGTGGCCTTCAGCAAGATGGCTAAGGTAAGAATAGCATAAGCTGCAAGTCACGGCAGGATCTGTACAGATAGCTTAAGTACTCTACTACCGGCTGCTTCTCCTACGGTTTCGACCCCAGTAGTGCAAAGTGGCCAATTGTGTGCGTAGTTAGTCAGCGTGTGTAGTTAAGTACTCCTCTTACGGCATCGACAACCAAGAGTGCATAGCTGAGGTAAAAAGCTCATCAGCAACACTGCAGCCAGTCCATATTCCAACTGGAAGATGTCAGCGTATCTTGGAACGTATCTTGTTCCAAATCACCTTCGATTCAATTGATAATTTTATATCTCTATACCTTTGTGCCTACCATGAGTTTACGTTAGGTGAGCTCGCTAGCGAATACGTCAAAAAATTCTATGAAGATTTTATTTCTTGAAAGTAGCCACTAGGGGCGCTGCACAATATGTCATACATTTAAATGTCATTTTTTTACGCAGTCGCTAGCGAGCACACCTAACGTAAACTCATGGTAGGCACACTTATCATCTACAGTTCATCCCATGACAAAATCAAATAAAAACATCGTTCGTTCAGCCAAATAAAGTCCACTGCTGGACAAAGGCCTCCCCCAAGGATTTCCATAACAACCGGTCCTACGCTGCCCGCATCCAGGCACTTAACACGACCTCTACAGATCGTCGGTCCGCCTAGTGGGAGACCTGCCCACGCTACGTCTTCCGGCCCGTGATCATACGAGTAAAAACATACTTCAGTTCAATTATTTCCCTGCAGGGCAAGAGCAGCGTATCCTGGGAGGAGTTCCAGGAGCTCTGGAAGGAGTACTTCTCCACTGAAGATACCAACGCCGCCGGCAACTTCATATTCGGGCGAACTAGCTTTTAGGCAGCCAACCATCCACCCCGATGTTGACATACTACCCCTTTTGAAACCCACGACTAAACCAGGGAGATGAGGGCCAGTGAAGGCAACAGCCACCACTTAGAGTAAGGCCGAATAAGGCAGTTCCGGCTTTTAGGCCTTAGGGCGCGGTCACATTGGCGAACGAGCAAAAAGCACCGTCAGTATCAGTAAAATTTTGCGTCTACATTCATCATGTGTCACGTATGCTGCACACAAAGTACTCCTTTGCCAAAGTGGACGGGCTCTACAAAAAAGAAATGCTGCAAAATCATGCCTTGAACGCTTAATCCACTGTCAGGCCTCACAATGTCAATATCTAAATTTGATTTAACGTGTGTCTGTGTTCAGAATAGTGTAATTCCTAATATTTCTCTTAATAGCGGATCGAAGTGAATTTGAATCTCTCAACTTTTAATAACTCGAAGCTCAAGCATTTACTAGTGTTTCTCGAATTCTTAGATTCTTGTGACAACGAATCGATTATTCACTATTTCGACATTAAATAGCATATCTTGTAGTCATATCTAATGATAATTCTACTCGTATTACTATATTGTTCCGCCACTTGCTACCCGAATTATAGACTTTCTTTTGTATGCAACCTTACTTTATGATAATTTCAATACTATATTAAGTATTAAGCTATACCACCAAAATTATTGTACCAACTGATCTCATGATGTACGAAATGAGAGGTTGTTAGATACACAAATAGCATTCTATTAGATTTAATTTTCGTGTGTATTTTAATCGTCTAGTATTAGAAATAGTTAGATTTTTCAAAAATTACTGTTAAATGGCCGTAGTTTCAGTGTGTGTAACAACCTTTACATTTTACATACAAAATTGTTAAGTTTTATATTTTACCTGTTAATTTGTCTCAATTTTAATTATTTAATGTTTACTCAATTTAAGCTATGAAATTTTATCTTGTTATGTTGCTATGAAATTTATGTATCTACATAATAGATTAATAAATGTATGTAAATAATATACTTGTGTTTATTTTTACCCCAAAAATTCCTAGAAATAACACTGAAAATAAACTGAAGAAATAGGAAACATACATTTTAATGAGCACTAGAATTCAGTACAGTTCGTGAGCGAATATTCTTGCGTGAAAAGTGCTCGCGAGCGAATTCTCTCCAGCCAAATTCGCGAAGTTATAATGCTTCCATTAAGTTCACGCTTTTATGGACCAAAATATACTATAACCAGCTATCAAAATCCTATATCAATACCCTGATAATATGAATATCAACACGGTTATTACCATTCTAGGAATAATATCCTGGGGAAATAATACCCCGGATATTATGGGTCGTAAAAGGTTTCAGTGTATAATAAATACCGTCGACTTTTCGCATAGTTACGAGTATAAGCACGAATGAGATACCTTAGTATAAGTATTGTTTTCACTAACACTATTGATATGTACTTTACTAGCATTAAATTGCATTGTGATCTATTATTTTCATGGAAAGATAATAAATTCCTAGATAGACCTTCACATGCGTTGAGTTAAATACAGTCAATCAAGGATCAAAAGTTCAAAAGTGTATGTTTTTGTATAGTAATGACATAGTTACACGAATGAGAGATGCAGGCCGCTATCCGCTACTAACCGGGCAATATGAAAATCATCAAAGAAACCTAATAATGTTCAGCAGTGGACGTCCTGTGGCTGAAATGTTGGTAATGATGATGATGTTGATGACACACTGGCGTATATAATCTTAAAAGTTCTTAGTATCATTTACTTCTTGAATAACTTGGTATTTTATTACACATGATTTTTTTCTACGTGATTGTCATATAGACTAAGAGCTAGTGAAATAGAAATAAATCTATATCTATTATATAAAAGAAAGTCGTGTTAGTTACTCCACTTATAACTCAAGAACGGCTGAACCGATTTAGCTGAAAATTGTCAGGGAGGTAGTTTAGAGCCAGGAGAAGGACATAGGATACTTTTTATCCCGTTATTTATTGCCATTAAGGCGGAACAAAGTTCGCCGGGTCAGCTAGTAGTTTATAAATGACGTAGGTCTGGCGTCCACCAGCTCTTAGTCTAATACTATTGTTGTGCAACAAAACTGTACAGTTAACTGTACGTTTTCTACTTTGCTATTCTAATACTTCTTGCCACGTCTTTATCGCGTCAATCTAGCCTTTGCAGGTTGATTACTTTGCAGTATTACTAGACAATCGATATCGCACGAGGTCATTATACTGCCTTGGCTTGCTGTAACATTAAATAGCAGTTGGTATAATTCCTACTAAAGCCTGGTCCGTAAGCACGTAGAATTTTTTCCAATGACCCCAAGCTATAGGTAGCTTGGGGTCATTATCGCTCGCGCGTAATTGCTAGTAAATGTTGCTGTCGCGCTCGCACACTCACTGCGGGCGCGCGTCGCACAGTCGCGACAGCAATATAATTACGCGCAGGCTTTAATAAACAATTAAAAATATACACGTACCGAAAGTGCAGCGTATGACGTTCACCCACAAGATGGACCGACGACCTTATAAAGGTAGCAGGAAGGCGCTGTATGCAGGCCGCTACCAATCGTTCATTATCTTTGGGTGAGGCCTATGTTCAGCAGTGTACGTCATGTGGCTAAAATGATGATTATGTTGATGAATGAAAAATATTATCATAACGCTAAGCTAATGAAGCATTTAATGTTGTCATGATGATTTCAAGAAGAAAATAATGCAGCAGATGTTGGTAGGTATTAGTAGAAGGAATTTCACACCTCCGATAAAATCTGAAAATGTGACATTCACTAAAACAAAGTGTTTTTGTATGGAGTTTGATAGACCTTTGTGGTTTGTTAAAGTTAAAGTAAGAAGGTGCAACCCAGCCTTAGCTTTCTGATGCCAGTACTGAAATTGTGTCGTTTACTGGTCGAAATATAAAACTAAAAACTGAACGTCTACCTTGCCTTCAAGTGAATTTTTTCCTTCTTGTGACCCTTAATATTATTTAACGATAACTGCTTCACTTGTTCATAAAAATATGCTATCAAAGTTTTAATTAAAGGTCTGAACATTTTGAGGCGCAGGCTCGTTAGCAAAGGGGCTTGAGATTGACAGCAAGATAAATAACGGTAATAGAAAGTTATTAATTAGTTATAAATATAAAAGATTAAAAGCACAAAGCTATTTTTCAATGTGTAGTATCTAAATAAAAACACTAAGGCTGGGTTGCACCATCTTACTTACTTAAACTTTGTCAAACGTCAAAAATCTGTCAAACTCCTCACAAAAAGCACCGGATATCGTCATAGTTACCGTTAAAGTTAAGTGGTGCAACTCAGCCTAAACTTTTTTATATTCAAGGTATGTATTTACTACAAAACACTCTCTTTACTCGATCATCATCAAAATCAGGTATCCGTCTGCTCGTTTGCCTCCTGTCCTATAAAAAAAGAAAAACTCTCTTAAATTCTTGTGTAAAATAAACTTTGAAAAATCTCAAGTTTCGCCTTTAGAAAACATGTAAGAAAAGTAAGTTAATATAACCAAGAACTTTATTTTAATTAGGACGAAATCATCCCCAAAGTTAACTAAACTTTTTAATTATTCAGCTGTTTACTTTCTTTTTACAACATAATGAAAATCTCTCTGGAATGCTCAAGCAATTAAAATTAAGTTTAACTTGGACATCTTTTTGTTGACTTTAGTTAAATCTGTGTCAACATCAAAGTTGAGGCTGACTGATGACGTCATTGAGATTTCATTTGGTTTCCGAAATTGAATGAAACTTTAAAATAATATTTCTTCATTGAAACAACAAATTGACTTTACTAGAATCTGAAATTGCCTCTTGTCTTACATTATAATTCCGTTGGTTTAAAAACGTCCTAGGTAACTACATTAGTCTGGACTTTACTTATCTTAGTGCTCTTAAAAAAAGACTAAAGAGTTTTATGACGTTTTACGTGGTGCATCAATTTAAGTTCTTGAGTGGCAACCACGGGCCGGAAGCCGTAGCGTGGGCAGGCCTCCTACTAGGTGGACCGACGATCTGGCGAAGGTCGTGGAAAGAACCTGGATGCGGGCAGCGCAGGACAGGTCGTTATGTAAAGCCTTGGGGAGACCTTTATCCAGCAGTGGACGTCATTTGGCTGAAAAGAACTAACGAACTAGAGCTAATTTATTGCACAAATTACTACGGCTTACCTACCTGTTGAAATCAAGCACCTAATTTCGTAAGCACCTTATGCCTACCATCAATGAAAACCAAATCCTAACCTTATAGCCTTCGAGGCGAACTCTTACTCGTCGTTCTTAGGGAGGAAACGGAGCTGTGCGGAGCGGAGAGAAGTGGAAATAATGAAATCTGATTGGTTTTTCAAAACACTTTTTCGCTCCACTCCGCTCAACCGTGGAGGAAACCAGGCCTTAGTCGTTGAAATCGTGCCATTCTAATAATGGAAGTGAGCCACAGTTCGATTTGCAATTAAGTCTCAACAGTCGCTAGAACATTAGGCCTGGACTAAGGTAGACCGAGTTTTAGTTCTAGATCTAACTTTTATAACTGGGGCAATAATTGACTTAGTTTGACTGCTACCAATGGGGCCTGATTTTACTGAATATTATATATTTCTATCTAAGTAACCAAAACCTATAAATAAATCATAATACGTGTTACGATCCAATAAGTAAGAAAAATTAAATATACTTACCAATAAATGTCATAATTATGTTGACCCAATTAGACCTCAAAAAGATAAATAATACCTATCCCAAATATGTTTAGAGGAAAACCATTTGGTTTTCGAAATAAAGTAAATAATTTGTTTTTGAAAAGAGAAAATTATATCATCCATGTTTTGCCGTTCAAAGTACCTACATAAATTATTTCAGAGTTCAATTGGATCCATAATACAAGTTAAATCAGCAAGACTACACAGATAAAATACGTTGCAAATAAACGTATTGAAAAAATGTTCAAACCTTCTTCCTTCTTCTACAGGCAGCAAAGAAACAAACAAAAAAGAAAAAATCGTATGTTAAGAAAATCTAGTAGGTCATGCTAGGGAAAACGGAGTCAATTGTTTTTCATTAATCCACGAAATATGAAAAGACCTTCAAGTTTGACTTCTTAGCGGAAAAGTGAAGGGTCATGTTTAGCAATTTTATTTTATTTGTATGTATTTATTTAATCGAATATTAACGGTAGATTTTTATTATTGTTTTCGTAAAAGTTTACTTCAAGTTCTCTTTAAAGTTTCTTTTAACATAACTGCGTCAGAAGGAGGGTTATGTTTACAAAGAAGGAAAATGCTCAACTTATTTATTTATACTTAAATGCCAAAATATTAACATAATTGTATCTTACCTTACCAATAACACCTTTTGTAAACATTATGGAAGCAATAAACTATTGAGTATTGAGTATTGAGTATAGGCGAACTTAATGCCATAAGGCATTCTCATCAACTTATCTATGGTACTGGAATTGGCCTCAACAGGATTCGAATCTGAGGCGCTTACCTACTGCGTCCCAGAGTATACTGTCCCAATTTTCATTACGTGTCCAATGCCGTAAGGGATCAACAGAAAATATAATCCGCGACGGTTTTCGCCTCGTTACGCATAGAAACGTTACAAAGGCTTTGTTAAATTTATTTAGAAAGCCTTTATACTGAGACAAAGATTCGCCGAGATGTGTTCGTTCGGTGGAAGAGACATATTGCCTAATGAGGGGAACGAATAAAAAGGATGCTGTGTGCTGTCCAACGAATTTATAGAAGCTGTAAGTATGA